TGGCAAAGCTTTCATATGGCTAGGGGCCAAGCCACGGCCAAAGGCTCAAGAAGACTAGTATAATGTACAAGTGGTATACAAAGGACAAGCAAAATGGATAGGGGCGTGAAGTAAGAAGAAAACGAGGACCCACTTCCCTAACTCCAGCGGCCAAAGAACCCGGACCGTCTGAGACCTGTTCGGTCTTTGGTTGAAGACTCTGGGCCCACACCGGCAATGCCCGGCATGGCATTGAACATATGGGCGCCTGCGTTTTTAGCGGGAAAAGAGGGTGAAGAACTGGAGGTAGCCACGGTGGACCTCCACCTAATACTCCACCGCCAGCGAGACCACGAGCCCTGAAACCAAGAGGCGTTCGTGTACTCTCATCAACATACCGGAACCTGTACTTCACCATGCATGGTGTGCAGAACTACTTTGTCACCCTTCCATTCGGGTGCAGCAGCGTTTTTCGTCTTCTCATCGTACTCGAGGTCGTCTGCGTCTTCGCTATAGTCACCAACGAAGATCCTGGCTGTGGCTCCGTTCTCGATGAGATGGCCACTATTGGATATGCCTTCTGAGAAGGAGGTTCCGCCAGCGAGTGTGGAGGGATGTGATGAAACCTCGGAAGCTGCGTGGAAGCCAGACGTTGATATGGCCGTTACATGTATCTAGCGCGAGTTCAATAGGCAGACGAGGTGTGGTCAGAAGGTGTGTCGTCCTATCAGGCCAAGGCTTAGCACACAACTCATAGGAAGTAGACCAGGCTTACCAGCCGGAAATCGATAGCGCCGTGGCTCGTCTTTGCGTATAAGATCGTCTTTTCCCGTCTGCTGTTCTTCCTTGACGATTGTACGAGTTTGACATCAGCCGAGATGGCCCCGTGTCCATGGTCTCGAGCCTAAGATTCGGCCTCGTCGCGGCCGACTATCCATGGGCGCAGAGCAGCAAAAGAATCGCTGGAACATGGCGCATAGGGTCAATCACCAATTTCTCCTTGATAGAACCATGCGTCATGGTCACAAAGTGAAAAGTTGGTCGCATTGACAAACTCGGGGCGAGCGCCAGAAGCGGGGCGCTGGGGCTGATCTGCGTGGAGGAGGATGGGAGGAGGAGGATGCCGAGGACCGGGATCCTGGTGGTGTGAATCGTACGATGGAGGGGGCTCGTCATCCTCGTTCAAACTCTGGGCGATAAGCTGTCAATGTCATGGGTTCCATACGCAATCAATGATGCTCACCGTCGGCGCCTCTGACCACTCCTCGTCGTCCCTGGTATCATTGCGCGGTTGCTTGGCGTCGTAGTAGCCTTCAGGGAGGATCATAGCTTCAAGGGGATACGAAGAGGTTGTGGAGCGGAAGAAACCTGTATAAAGCCCACGAGGAACCTCGTGCCGGGCTGCGGATGGGTAATGATGCAAATACTGATTTAGGTTCCATGTGAGACCTTCGTGAGGAACTGCGGAGGCTGATTGGGACTGTATCTCAGCCTTGAGCCTGCTATTAGACTTTTAATGAAGTACCACGAGGCTTGATCTATCACAGGACGGTTCCATTCTCCAGCAGGCGCTATCAATCGCAGTCAAGTCAGCTGTCTGAAATTAAGCGCCCAGGCATCGTGGGAATCAGCATCCGGCATAAACCGTTCCGGCAAGGACAGCGACCACCACCACTTTTCGACCACGACCACGACGAGCAGCAGCATCAGGTCATTCTCATGCGCCTGCAATATTCATAACAATCAGCCTACAATGTATAGAACTGTTTCTCAGCGGACACATACCACACTACGACGGTGGGCAAGCTCAGCAGCAAGGCCCCCTCGAGTGCCCTCGAAATCCACAGAGAGTGCTCGGGCTGAGGGCTCACATATGGGTCCAGCACTACAGAAGAAGGTCTTTTCCTTTTCGAGGAGGTCAAAACCTCTCCGATAGGTACCGGCGCCTGCAGACATCCCTGCGCGGAAAAGAGTCGAGAACGAGGGAGGTGGAATTTTTGGAGAGTGTGGTGGAAGGAAGTAGGGAGGATGCGACCACTGCTCTAGATTCTTTGCCCTTGAGGGCTGAGGAAACCCAGGCTGTTCCCACCGCTGATGGTCAAACCATTGAATCTTCAACCGCAGTTGGGTCAGGCAAAGGCAAGGATGAAGCACAACGGTTCAAGGGATTGGTCATACCCCGGAAACCCGACCCTCCTGCTGACGACGGTGAGCACAACATTTGGGATTCTCGTAGCTTGCTGCTCATGCTTTGGCTAGAATGTTGCATGTCGGGATGCGCCATTTGCGTATACGACCTCTACGATGAATCCCTGTCTGCCTACGACGTATCCGTGGTGCAAGTACGGAAGGCCCTTGTCGAAATGGGTTGTGAAGGAGCAGGAATGGCCAGCAAGCATCCTCCCCAAGAGCTCTGCAACGGCTGCAAAGCCGACCGTTCAAGCTACCGTCCGAGACGCGTTCGAGGAGATGGAACGTGCTTTGCAGAAGAAGAAGGAAGCAAGGGAAGCAGCAGCGAATGATTCGACGGCTGTAGTGCCACCCACCCCAACAAGCATACCCCCGTTTCCGCCTTCGTCGGTCCAGGCTACAGCACCATCTTTGAGTTAGTCCAAGTAAGCCAGCAACACTTATCTTCAGCGAGTGCTGATGTTCAACTTGCTCATAGGCTCAGCCAGAATAGTTGCTACTTCTGTACCACCCATGCACACCCGGCAGGGGCCCAGGCAGCCGAGGTCCCGCCTGCTCGAGGAACTCACTGTTGGGAACGTTGTTGAAGGACTACGCTGGCTCCTCTTCGGGAACCGGTAGCCCGTGACTTACGGGCAGGAAACCACTCAATATCGATACTATGCGAACATAATTCAGCTGAAGACTTGACGTTCACTTCGAGCACGGCGCACGACATTCCAAAACCATCGACCATCACATTCGACTATAGGCAACATCTCGAGCCAACGCTTTAGTACACCAATCCCTGGATAGCCTTGATAGCATAAGCCGTCGTCAACCCTCTGTTTCCAATCAGCCACCCACTCGAACCATACTTGTAAATCCATCCAAGCTCCCATCCTCCATCCTCGCACTGTAGGGACAGCAGCTTATCGACTGCTTCCTGGTTTTTGACACCCACGAAGTTGCACGCCATCAACCGTAGAGCAAGTGTCATAGCATCTACCTCAAGGTCTTTCCTAGCTTCCACCCTTTTCTTCAACAGCGGAAAGAGAGCATTTTTCAGCTCATCATCCTTTGTCTTCATCAACAACCTAGCCAAACGCGGCGAGGAAACACTCTGCGGAGGCATAGTACCGAGTACCGTCCTTGAATCCCTCCTCGTCCTTTAAAACCTCCAACACATATTCGAGCGTCTTCGTCAACTCTTCACCTCGCCCATTGGAATGGGAAAAGCGTCAAAACGTTGGCGCACACGACGGGGTCGACGCGAGGACGGCTGGCGTCAAAATACGTTTGCATGATCCCGTCGCTGTTGCGACACGTCAGGATCTTGTCCATGACGCAGGGGAGGCCCTCGTGTCCATGCAGGGCTGTGTACGCGATGGAGGTGGTGTCGACGTCGTCGGGGAACGCGTGCGTCGTCAACTGGCCTTGCCTGCACAAATGGTCAGCTGCGGCTCGAAGGAGTTGGAAGAACGGGTTTACCTCCAATGAAAAAGTTCCAAGTCTCCTGACATTTCTCGATATCAACGAGTTCTGGATCCTTGGTCGCCTCCAGGATGAGCAAACTGGCAAAGTTGTCGCCAATGACGATTCCGTCACCCTTTACACGCACCCCAGAGGTTACCGAGATGGGACAGGTGTTCATACCGTTGGCAATGGCTTCGTTGCAAGGCTGGCCTGGGAGAGGAGATGTCACTGAAAAGTGCTGCTTCTTATTCGCGTCGAGGTACTGCCTTCCTCTGGCAACGGCGTCGCTGTATTTGAACGCCTTGACCAAGTCCCCCATCGCCTGCTCAGTGTTCTCGAACCGGATGGCGTAGAATCCAAGGGCTTTGGCTGTCTCGATGTTGCTAGCGTTGTCGTCCACGAATATGGTGGACTTGGGGTCAATGTTGGCTTTGTGAATGACGTGCTTGAAGAACTCGGGATCGGGCTTTCGTACGCCAGCCTCGCATGAGGGGAAACGGGCGTCAAAGAGTCCCCATCGGGAGGTGTCCAGTTTGGGCTGAAGGACTTTCCAGTCCGGGGCAGAGATGTTGGACATAGCAAAGACCTTTAGATCCTTGTGAGATCGTTTGAGCTCTTTGATGAGGTTGAACATCCTCGCGTCGGGTGTGAGCGAGTCTCGGGCGTGGCCAAAGACACTGGCAATGGCGTCTTTAGATAGCCAAACTCGTTGCCGACTTGGGTGTAACACACGTCCTCCTCGTTGGGCCGTCCACATTCGTACTCGTTCCACGTTGAAGAGGTCAGGATGGCGCGGAGGGTCTCTTTGGGGACGATCGTGACATCGCAGGACCAGTTGAAGAGGACGTCTCCGAGGTCAAAGATGATGCTGGTGATAGGAAGTTTCATGGCAGCTGCTGTCCATCGCTTGGAAAGGCGTCGCTCGTAGATATGCCACCACAATCTATTGTATGTGGACCATGGTCCTGTACTCCAAGGGAGCGGGTCGAACTGATTCCATGTTCATACGAAGTTGGTGAGCTGGTTACGGTCCAAGCCTGGGGTGACAGTAACAAGGCCGAAATAAACGGTTGCGAAAGTGAAGGTCATTTCAAAAGACCCTTGGAATGTAACATTTCATTTGCCCAAAGGTCTAGTACAACAGCACTGGACGTCTTACTCCGTCTGAGACTGAGAACTCTATAGCCCTTTGTTCCGCGTGACTGATCGAAAGACGCGGGATTCCGAGGGGATTACTTGGGCAAGATAGAAGACTATTATATTTGCCAGTCACTCGAAGCGCATATAGTCCACCGGCAGGAGGGCTCCAGCTGCCAATTTGGGCAGATTCTGCCTCAACAGCGGATGATCATGCGCCCCAGATAATTAGTCTTCAACCGACTTTAGCTCAGTTGGAAGAGCATCAGACTGTAAAGGAAAATTCCCACGGCATCTGGGTGTCGCCTGTTCGAACCAGGCAAGTCGGATAACTTTTGACCCATTTTTCCTCGAGGCAGAAGAGCGGCAGATTGAGGTCGAATACACATGTTATCAAGCCAGATTGATGACGCTGATTATTGCCGATGATGTCGGACTGCTAGCTGGCTATAGTTGACACCGCCTTACGTCATAAGGTCATTCTTAAGGAACGAGAAATTCTCAGAAATCCTATGCCTTTCGGTCATTTATGACTTTTTATGACTTAAGACGGTGCTGACTGTAGAGAAGTCGATTTTGAGGTGTACTACGAGAAATGAACGTAGGGGGAGGATCACTCCAATGGAATTTCCATTCCGTTATCTGTAACAGAAGTGTAATTCTAGAGAGGTCGTTGCTTTACTGCAGCAGCCGCGGTACTTGTCAAGGCTGTCCTTCCTATCCCATGATGGTGCAATGGAAGCTGAGGTCTGTAATGACATCGAGAGCGAGGCCCACTTCGAGTCCAAGCAACCCGGGACCAGGTCAAATTACAACGCACTTCATTGAAAATCTATTGTAAGAAGGTCGCAGTTTACTGATACACTAGAGCAATATGTAATGAACAAGAAATACAAGCCATGATAGCCGCCGCTGATGACTGATAACCAACAATGTACATATGAAAAGGAGAAAGGAAGCCTAATGCAATATATGCAGTTGAAGAAAGCCGAAAGATACCTTGAAGGAACGTGCAAAATGGTGCAAGTACAGAGGAGTGGCGGCCAGCAATCATGGCTCAACCGTCGGACTCAACACCATCGCGCTAGCGCTTGCACTGATATCGTCACCCTCCCCATTTCTTTACGCCCAATCCTCCTTCAGCCTTGCCATTGCTCTGGTTCGCACTCTCGCTTAACCAGGCTTCCAGCCTCAGCCCCAATTCTCCACCTCGTCCACCACAGAAATCGCCCGTCTTGTCCAGCATCTTCTCCTTTGCTTCTTCGACGACAAAGGGTAATGGGAGAACAACAGCAGCCCCCACCATTCAGCTTCTTGCCGTTCGCGATTTCTGCAGTGGGTGAGAGCATTGCTGCTGGTGCACCGTCGAGCAGAGGGAGGAAGCCTCCTGGTGCTGAAGGCGCAGATGTAGATGATTTGGATGACTTTGAGCCAGAACCATCTTTCAGCCCATTGATAGGAACGTCGTCCCCCTCGCGGGCTATCATTGCCTTCAAATCCTCGTGGTCGTAGCTCGTCGCACCAGCTTTGAACCACTCGCTCTCAAACTCCTCTGGTCCAAGTATTGAATCGACCAATCCCTCCTCCCAACCGTCCCATTCTCCACAGCGATGGGCCATGCGTAATCGCGCACCAGCAGCCTCGTAAAAGAGCCATTCGCGGCAAAGCTCGGTTGGGTCCACGGTTTTGCCGTGGTACTTGGGAAGGCTGAGACGGAAGGAGGGGTCTGCGGGGAGCTCCGCGACGGCGGCGCGGAACAGCTTCGAGACAAACGGTGAAGATTGGACACATGCCGGGAGATGGGCCGAGGCCCAGAGCGGCCTGGTTGTTGTCGACTCCCAGTCAATGATGCAAGTCTGTTAAAGAAGTGATTAGATTAGATCGAAGCAATAGGGATAGGGGCAACGGAATGAAGCTCACAATCTTTGAATTATCCTTTGGGTCAACAAAAACATTCTCCACGCTCAAGTCATGGCAATCTAGCGCAAACTGTTCGTGTCCGTGTTTCTCCTTCTTTCGCACGACGGCCTTGACGAGCCTCCCCATCACGTCCTTCCACCGGTCCATCTCTTTCCGAGCTGCCTCCTCTCGCTGGCTCATGTGAGCAACCAAGAACGTGCTCCTCTGCATCCTTCGATAGTCGGAATACATGGTATCACCTGGCCCTTCCCATTCCTCCTCGCTCTCTTCAATATCCGAATACTCGTCTGAATCATCCGACTCGTCGCCAGGTACAGCGTTGAGCCGGTGATGCCGGGAGGCACGAATCTCAGCCGGGTCAAGATGTAGTCGATGAGGCGCGGATCTACCTTCATTCTCGCGAATCACCCCCTTAACCTCGCGGTCGACGCAAGAATCGACGTAGGACTCGAACGAGCTCCAGGGCCCTCGGTCGAGCTCTGTGGGATGGGCTAGCTCCCCTCTATTTGAGCCGAAGAATGGCCAAGAGATAATGGGCCCAACATGGTAATCGTGCATGACAGTATGCACCGACTGGGTCGAGGGTGTTTTGGTCATCGTCCCGAGCGTTGGGGAGAATGGAAAACCGGAATAATGTTGCTGGGTAGCCTTGGGGGTCGGTGTTCCGGAGGCAACCTGTGCCCGTGGATCAGGACCGAAATACAACGAGCCGATGTCTGTGAACCGGTGCGCGAAGAGAGGGAGCAGGATTCTTGCAAGGTTCTTGACGAGTTTCACGAGGTCATTGTAGGGAAGACTGTGATAAACTCGTGAAAGGGGGATCCCTGGCGCCTATTATCTGCGGTTAGTGAATCAATTCAACCCAAAGCATAGTAACAACCTTGGACATGAGGATGAATTCACCCCCCAGCCGATTGTAGGGATTTGAATCATAGTGATAGATCTTGGGGACAGGCGTGTTGGTCTTTTCGCGTAGGTAGCTCATCGTTGCTACCTCAGACTCAGTCTTGAGCCTGGGCATGAATCGACGCGCAACACGTGCGACAAGCTCCTCGTGGCTGGAAAGGGTAACGAGATATGCCTACTATCGCGTAAACAAAGCGAATATAGGGCAACGGTGAAGATTATCACCTTGTGAAACGTTCCTATGAGCAATTTCAGCCTTTCTGTGTAACTCAACAGTCCAAATACGACGCACCGGCACTTAAGAATGTGATCCGTCCGACCTCCATACCCATTTTCTCCTGGACGACGTCCTTGAGGACCCGTCTATCGACCTCGAAGGGTACTTCTCGATGGAATGCGGCATCTGCATGACGTTCCTTCTTTCTGTCTGCATGTTCAATATCCCAATCCCACTTCAAAGGCGGTGGTAATCCAGATATTGGGGGTATGTCCACGGGTCGCGTCTCCTGGTGTTCGTCCTGGTTATCAACTGTGATTTTCAAGTGCTTACTGGTGCTCTCCTTAGCCATTACAGGGCTCAAGGCAGTCGAGGAAGGGCCCGTCGTCGTCGTGGCGTCCAGGCGATGATGAGCGTTCTTATCAAGGTTGGTCGCGGTCGCTTCCCCTTTTGAGGATGAAACAACTGCGCCCTCGGAAGTCGATCCGGTGTGACTTCCACTGGAAAACCCGTGAAATGCCCAACTATCAGATGGAACAAAAGCCAGAAGATTAGATGTTGCGTTCAGAGTGGTCAGAAAATTAAGAAGTCAGGGTCATATTATATTACGCACTGGTAATTATCAAAGCGCCCAACATTAGAGCCCGTCATGTGTTTGTATATGCTTGAATTGGAGGCCTGATGACCAGCCTGAGTGTGGTGGAATGGTTGTTCGACGTGCAACATGATTGTCAACCATGTATCGGTACTGAGAGCAGGCGCTTGCAGGTGGAAGTAAGAAAGGCAAGAATAACCGGATCCTAAGAAGCCCCGCATAGGGCTTCTTATGTATTTTGGCTTTATTCAATCAGGAGCCCCGTCCGAGTCCACGCAACCGGTATAACCAGGTGACGCATTTCGATTGGGAGATCCAGATCCAGATAGCCTACGGATTGAGGGTCGCGTTATTGGCAAAGCAACAGCGCTGGAGACTCCGCAGGTTCACTGCCGTTAAGCACACCCTGGTTCGGCATGCACCAATGGAATAAATTCACGCAAAGAGGATGACACCCCTTAAGGCGTCGCAGGTGAGTAAGGCGTCTATTATTGGGTTGAGGGTGCCTCAGCCAGCCACAACCCTTGACCCATCTGGCCCTTTTCGACCCACTGATATTAATGGTACGTACACTCCACTCCATCGCGCATATTTTTAATCTCTGACTCTCAGGCCTGAGAGTTGAAACCCCCTGGGAAGGTCCTATGGGAAGCAGTCATGATAACTACCAAATCCTTATCGCACATACTTATATCCAGTACAAGCCCTTACCTCGTGCGGATCTGCTCTAAGCGACAACTTCTAAGCAACCGGCTGGTGCGGGGACGTTCCCTAGAGGAAAGCACCGCGAGACAAAAATAAAGATAGCATTTAGTCCCGACCTCGTGGTCCTCGCCCAACCCTTCCCTTTCGCAGGTGCGTGCCTCTGTCACAAATATCCAAAAATAGCGTCTGTGACTCTGTGAGGACGCGGTGCGTTCCTTTGGATTTAACTTTCCACCTTATCACCAGCAGTGAGCACGTCTAGGCGTAGGCCTGAAGAGCTGGATCTCGCAACTCGCAAGTGCTTGCGACCAATAGGATCCTACCTGTTCCACGGGAGCCAGCCGTCTGGCTCCGTATCTTTTTAAACTTCTTGGCGCTGGTCCTCCTTCACGCTGTATCTGGCGTAATCTCCCGTCGATCGTCTTCTGTTCTTCCAGCGGTTAATTTCGGAATCTTTGCGAGTTTGCTCGTCATCATCCCCTGGACAGATTAGTCCGACGTTATCCGACCAACAATCTGTCGCCATTGCGGCCTTGGCCCGCAAGAGGATTGAACGTTGCTCGGAGAAACCAAACGACTCCTTGATCCAGCACTCTGGAGCTCGGCTTCTTGCTTGGAATACCCATTTCTGCATCTACCGCCTTCCTACACCTACCTGGGACGTCTCCCATCCTGCGGCTATCCGACAATCAACCTTCAAGGAAACAGAGTTTTAGCTTTGAAGTACTTCGGTCAAAGTCGTAAGAATTGTCCGGGTCGTTCCTGCAGCGTGACACAGCACAACCCTATTCCAACACTCCCTTATCTGCTTCTGTGCCTTCCTTCTCGAGTTCTTCTCCCTTGCAATCGGTTAGTGAGCGGCTTGGCATCTCTTGCTCGCTTGTTCGAAGTTGGGAAGCAAGAGGATGGACTGGTCCCGATATTTGTTCAGCGACACGCTCCTTGCTTTCTACCCTCCTGGAGCGCTGCTGTCGTGATCAAGTAGA